CGTGAGCCACCGCTCCTGGCTGGGCCTTCTTACTAGCAGGGAATGGAGTAAGGATAACAGGGGAATGAGAAAACAGGGAAAAAAGAAAGTCTAAAGTGAGTGGGGGAGAGAATTTTGGTCTAGAGAGTAAGAAGAGTCTCTTGAATCTTCCTTTGTCTTGCTTTTGGAATAACTGCAAAGTACATGAAAGAGATTCAGATTGAGTGGGGCAAGATTACTTCAGAAGGTTTTGTTGCGAGTTTTGACACTCCAGATATGGTGTTTTTGAGAGCCCACTTTAGATTCTAATCGCTTTTAATTTCTCATTGGCTGAAAGACAGTTGTTTCTCTGAATGCAATGCCGTGCTTAGGCCAACTTCAAGGGTGAGGTAGCTATTGTTGCTTTCTGAAAATTCCCCATTTTTTTTTTTTTTTTGACTGAGTCTCCTTCTGTCACCCAGGCTGGAGTTCAGTCACATGATCTCAGCTCACTGCAACCTCTGCCTCCTGGGTTCAAGTGATTCTTCTGTCTCAGCCTCCTGAGCAGCTACAACTACAGATGCATGCTGCCATGCCCAGCTAATTTTTGTGTGTGTGTTTTAGTAGAGATGGGGTTTCACTGTGTTGCCCAGGCTGGTCTCGAACTCCTGACCTCAACTGATCCACCCACCTCGGCCTCCCAAAGTGCTAGGATTACAGGTGTGAGCCACTGCATCTGGCCAAATCCCCCATATTTTTAAGACTACGGATGTATATATTTTCAAGTTGTTTTCCAGGAAAGAAATACCAGCTTAGATTACCATCAACAGTGTATGAGGGTGCTCTTTTTTCGTTGAGTGGACAGATAGAGAAGTAGATGAATGCATGAGTGAATATAGACAGAAGGGAAATACTCTGAGAGTATTTAGGGGAGGATGGACCAAATGACAAGGGATGAAAGACACACTCTTCGTAGGTACTTAACAAACTTTGGAGCTGTCTAAATTTGTTGGTTCCATCCCAGATACTTTTCGCCAGATAGCCAATCAAGGAATTGCTGAGGGATGAATTCTCTGAGGTGAGAGTGGGATTTATGAGGCACAGTCACAAAGAAACCCATTCCACCTCTGTTTTCAGAAGATGCTAGATATGGACACTAGTAAGAGTTTTTCATATTTAAGAAGGCTCAGAGCCAGAAAACTGAAACCCAGGGCTAACATGACAAGGCCCACCAAACTTAGCCTGCCTTGCTTGCTTTTTATTGCTTACTTCTAGTTGATCTCAAAGTCCATATAGCTAAAAGTCATGCAACCAAACAATATACATCTAATCTGTCACTAGCTTCCTTATAGACAAAATCTCTGGCCTATATATTGCTATGGTAATGGTTGCTTATTTTTTTTCCAGAAACTAGGGGGTCAGCTCTTATCCAGTTTAAACTACTTGAGACCACCAACTCTCTTTCTACCTCTCCCATTGGCTCTGGGCCTTATTACCAGGGAGTAAGGCTATCAGGAGAATGTGAAAGCAGATAGAAGGGGGAAAAAAAGAGTCACAGGCCTGTCAACTGGGCCCACACAAATGCCCAAGAAATGACTTTCTGACATCAGAGGGCCAAAACTGTACCTTCAGAGCATGCTAATTCTACCATTTTCTGAACCTCGATTATGCTTGCTCAGACCACCTATTACTTCATTTTCCCCCACTGCTAATCACCTTTCCCCACACCTTAGACCACCCCGCTTCTTTACCCTGTGAATATCTCTAAGCCCTATCTTCAGAGAGGTGTATTTGAAATCTGTTCGTCCATCTCCTTGCTGGGCTTTCCTGTGAATAAAATCTCTTTACTGCAAAACTTGGTATGGTTTGGCTGTGTCCCTACGCAAACCTTATCTTGAAATGTAGCTCCCGTAATCCCCATGTGTCATGGGGGGGATGCAGCATGGGAGGTGATTGAATCATGGGAGTGGGTCTTTCCCAGGCTGTTCTCATGATAGTAAATAAGCCTCATGAGAGCTGATGATTTTAAAAAGGGCAGTTCCCCTGCATACCCTCTCTTGCCTGCTGCCATGTAAGACGTGCCTTTTGCCTTTCACGATGATTGTGAGGCATCCCCAGTCACATGGAACTGTGAGTCCATTAAACCTCTTTTTCTTTATAAATTTCCCAGTTTCAGGTGTGTCTTTATCAGCAGCATGGAAACAGACTAGTTCACTTGTCATCTCAGTAACTGACTGACTGCACGATGGGTGGGATAAGCCTGGTTTGGTATTCAAACAAGAGTAGAGAGAATACAGCTTACTTTATTTTCATATTAATAAAATAATAACAATAAAGGTTAACAGTAATTAGGTCTTTTTCATGGTATATCTCATTAATATTTGCAAAAAATAAGAAGTATGTACTTGAATCAAATTATACGCAGACCTCAACCCAGGATTATAAGCCATTTGATGGTTCATATGTGCTGAGGATGTTTACTTTGGGGAAAGTGAAAATTCTGGGTGACATTTGATTTCTGCTTTTAGAAAGGAGTAGGTTGGGAACAAAGCTAGAGATCTGTGAGTGAGAAAGTGTGAAAAAGAAGCAGTGCAATTTTAGCGTTAAGAGACTAGCAATCTAGTTTTAGCCCAAGACGAAGAAACTGAGACCCATAGGGTAAGATTTCCCGGGCGTCCAGCTGGTTGCAAACTGCTATGCCCAGTCTGCTCACTGAATAACGCTCATTCCATCCTATGAAGCTGAGTGAAGAGTAAGTGGTAAGGGGGGAAAAATCCTAAGGAGAACAGAACGGAAACACCATTCAGGGCCAGCTTGGAATCAATAATGATTAGACTCGTGTTTTAAAAGGGTGTTTCTGGCTGTGGTGTGTAGTACGAACTACAAGAGAATAGGAGTTAAAGCGGGGAGACTAATTTGGGGGTTGTGGCAGGAATATGGATAGGGTGTGATAATGGCTTGGGCGAGGATGGTTGCAATGGCCAGAATTTAAATATATGTTGGATATAGAGCCAACAAGGCTTACTGAGGAATAAGCGTTTGCACAAAATGAAAAAGAAATCAAACATGATACCTAAGCAATAGGATGGATAGAATTCTTTTGCAGAGGAATTTTAGTTGCTTCCTAATACACGTGTAGTAATTTTTGTCTCCTATTTTCCAGCATATGTATGAAGTGGTTACATGATAAAGATCTTGTGTTATTCAGGGAGAAGTCCATGGATGACACTCACATTTTTATGCCTTCCAAAACCATATATCCAATCACATATTTGTTATCTCCCCCTTGGATTTCTAAGAGACAATTTTTAAAATGAGACATTACTGCTGCCATCTTAGTCAAGTCTTGAACTAACGTAACAGCCTCCTAACTGGTCTATCTTGTCTTCTTAAAATTTTCTTAGTCATTCTCCACATGATGGTACAAGGGACCTTTTAAAATCGCAACTTGCTTTCCTACCTAAAATCCTCTGATGGCTTCCCATTGTAATTTGAACAAAATCTTGTCCTCTTGCCTGGACCTCTAAGATCCTACAAGATCTGGCTCTGTCAGCTTCTCTGGCCTCATCAGCTACTCTTCTCTGGCCTCAGTCTGTTCCTGCCTTTCTTTCTGCTCCTTGAATTTGTACAGCTGATTATTGCCCCAGGGTTTCTCTTCCTGCTGTTTCCTCTGTCTGAAATGCTCTTTCTCAAGATCTTCACATAGTTCGTTCTAGCTGATCATTCAGATCTCTGGTCATATAGCCCTTCAGCAGAGCAGCTGTCCCTGACCACACTCTAAACAGGCACTCCCAAAGGTACTCTCTACAGCATTATTCTGCTTGCCTTTCTTTCATAGTGCTTCTCTTTAACTGAAATTGTCTTGTTTTCTTCTTCTTTGCCTTTTTCTTCTCTGGAATTCTCACCCTTGCATCCCTACTACCTAAAACAGTATTGGCACACAGTAAGTAATAAGATTTTGTTGAATATATGATTTCCCACTTTGTGCAACATTTTGATAGGACAGAATTGGACACAGGCATAGTATGAGGTGATGACAACCTATGTCCCATCCAGTGACCAATACATCATGTGATAGCATTAATAAATTAAAATTTAGAATCAGAAATGTTAAAAGAACTGTTCTAGTACTTTGGGGAAAAGACAGTTAGCATATACTATATAAATACATGTGTGGCATAAAATATATCATGTGTAGACAGCCTATAACAGTGTTAGGCCCTCAATACATTTTTGTTGAATGAATAAATGAATGACTGAAAAGTCTCTACATGATTTGACCAAAGGTAAAAGTGAAATGACTTAACCTTGACTAATTGGGATGTTTTTGTTCTACAACAGAAATTCTGCTGAGTGCGGGGGAAAAGCAAAGTTGAATCGAAGCAGACCCATTTTAAACAGAACTACCCTTGGCACCATAATTATGAAAGCAGAGAGTGACCTCTCCTTCCGTCTTGCTAGGTGTGGGGCAAGTCTGAGCGCCTTTTTGTCACTTGCTCAGTGAGAGGTGAACACCTCACTCCACTGCCTTGGGTGCTCCTTTGGAAGAGTCACGTAAGTCAGGCGATCACATAAATCTTATTCCCAATTACTCATATAACTAGTGAACATTCAACACAATAATTAAACACTAGCTTCATATTTCTTGACCCTTTTATTCTCATTAGGGCAGCATTAGCTAGTTATTAAACAAAGCGGGACAAATGTTTTTATTGAAATGAATATTAAGACAAATACCTGTTCCTAAAAACATAGCCAATTTGGGGATAAAATCAAATTCAATTTGCATTATTTTTGCTTTTCAAGAAATCCTAAACCAAAATGGTAAGGGAAAACAGAAACCTTCATATTTAAGGGCTATAAAATACCTTTCCTGAAAAAGAACAAATTAAAACTCATACCATATTTAAACCTATGAAAATAAACAATAAAAAATAAAAATAAACAAAATAGCTGTATTTAAGTGATGAATAGTAATCATTATGAGTAATAACAGTTAATATAATACCACGAACAGTAATAATGCATCCAAAAATTCTTACCAAGCCACCACCAATGACAGCTACTTTTTTCCTTTGAACGTCAGATGAGTCCATAACTGCTGAAGTATTTTTCACAATTATTGTTGTCGCTGTCACTGAGGGACACTTATTTGTGTCTCTTCTACACACTGATTTCTCTTAGTTTTTATGCCGCCCAAAGCCCAGTGCATTTATGAGCCAGCAGCAATGTTTAGTCAGGGCTAATTTCCCTTGAAAGCATTAACCCTTTAGTCGGCCAAAGTACAATCAGCTCAGCTCTAAGACAAAATAAATTCATTAGAATAACCAAATTTTAAAAACATCCATCAGATTGGAGACATTCTATCTTTTCTACCTTCTGTGTAAGACACGGAACTTTTTAAGCAGTCTTATGGCTTTTCTTCTTCTTTTTCTACAGTACATATTCTTAGTTTCATTTTCATTCATGATTAACCATGAATGAAGCCTTTCTCATCTGAAGTCCAAAACTATCTTATACTATCTCTCTTAGAGCGTAAGATGACATGGTTCCATAATTCATCCTGTGGATCATTTTTGTTACTAAGACCAATCAAGAATTTCCTCTAAAGGGTCCTCATAGACTGTCTTTAACAGGCTTTACCAGGGAAATTGTTTTGCAAGGCCTTAATATTCTCCTGATCAACATTTTGAATTGTGTAACTGATCATACTTCCCTTTTTTCTTTTTTCAGCCCAGATGCTAGAAAATTTAGAATTGAATTTGCACATTACCACTAGGGGAGGTGATTGACACAATGCTTCTCTAAATTCATTCCGAATCACGATTTTTTTCTGGAACATGATGTGGTGTAATATAAAATAAGAACATAAATGATCATGTTTCTTTACTTCCCGTTAAGCTCATAAAGAATTCAGAACATTTTTCCCTCTGGTTAGGAACTAGAGTTAAATGGCATTCAATAGTGACCCCTTGTGGATAAGTGTGATTAGGTGTTCCATTTATTTTGAGTAGGTAATACATTAACATGGTATGAAAATTTAAAAGACACAAGAGTAGACTGTGAACAGTGATCCTTCTAACCTTGATCCTTGGCCACCTATTTCTGCTGCCCAAAGACAACAACTGTTTTGGTGTGTGGGTTACTACATTATTCTACGAGCTTATTATGTCTTTCTTGTTCTTTCCTTGTTTTCTATCTTCTCTCTCTCTCCTCTTTCTCTCACTCTTTCCCTTCCTTCCTTTCTTTTTAAACATACATTTTAAAACTTGTTCCACACCATATTTTTTACAACATATAGCTTGAGAAGTCTTCAATACCAATATGTAGAGAACTGTATTGTTAAAAATTCTTTGAAAAATTATGAACGATAACACAAATGAACAGTAAAGTTACTGTAAAGCATGCATCCATGTTACTACCATTTAGGTCCAGAGACCGTTGCCAGAATCCCAGAAGTCTGGGTGCCCTTGCTAATCATCCCTCCTTCATGGAGGTAACTGCCACACCAACTTTCTTTGCTTTTATTTATAACTGTACCATCATAGATGCATCCTTTTTTTGAACTTTCCTATGAACGAACTTATACTATTTATTTTTTTGTGACTTGCTTCTTTTTCTCGGTATATTTCTTAAGATTCATTGTGTTATTGCATGTTTTTCTAGTTCATTCCTGTTTATCATCATATACTATTCATCCATTCTACTGTTGATCGACGTTTGGGGTGTTTCCAAATTTTTAATATCATGAATAATGGTGTTGCCATAAATATTCTTGTGTATACAATGTTGTGTACATACGTATGAGTATCTCTAGGATTCACATGCTGTTTATGCTTTCTTTTCCTTTCTTTTTCTTTTTCTTTTTCTTTTTTTTGAGATGGAGTCTTGCTCTGTTACCCAGGCTGGAGTGCAGTGGCTCCATCTCAGCTTACTGCAACCTCTGCCTCCCGGGTTCAAGTGATTCTCCTGCCTCAGCCTCCCAAGTAGCTGGATTTACAGCTCCTTCCTTCCTTCCTTCCTTCCTTCCTTCCTTCCTTCCTTCCTTCCTTCCTTCCTTCCTTCCTTCCTTCCGTCCATCTTTCTTTCCTATTGACTGGATGAATGATAAGATTTTTCTTATCATTCTCTCTCTCTCACTCCCTCTCTCTCTATCTCTCTCTCTCTCTTTCCTACTGACTAATTGAATGATTCCCTTTCATGCTGGCTAGTACCTCCAGTACAGGGTGAAATAGAGGTTTATTTCTTAAGTTCCAAATGCATGAGATATCCCAGTTATCTTATTGTTATTGCTTTTTAGCAAAATTCCAGTGAAGCCAGCTAATATGTGCTATAGATTTTCAAACATGTTAAACTGGTTAAGACTTGTTGTATGGCCAGCAAATGATAAATCTGTGTAAATGCTTTGTGTGTACTTGAAATATATATATATTCTGAAATTACTCTATATATTTTCCTATACCTATCCATTAGGTCAAGTTTATTAACCATGTGTTCAAAACCTTTGTATTCTCACTAACTTTTGGTATGATTGCTTTGTCAATGACTGAAAAAAAGGTATGCTAAATAATGTCAGGCTGTGATTGGTATTTGTCTATTTCTTCAGCATCCTGTCTACATGGAACAATCCACATTTAAAGGTGCTATCCATTACTGGTAAACTAAAGCTTTGATTATTATGAAGCAAAGAATTATTTTTGCCGTAAAATTTATTTGATATTACTATTAGCTTTTGTATTTGGTTAGCATTTACATATTATATAATTTCCACCCTTTCGTTTTCAACTTTCTTTTATCCTTATGTGGCCTTTGTAAACATTATTTGGTTGAACATTTTAAAATCCAGTCTAGTGTTTGATCTTTATCTTTTAACTTGAGTCTTTGGCTTTCTGTAGTTTCACCAAGATATATCTAGATAAACATTTATTTTTATAGATCCTAGTAGGAAATCATTGGATTGCTTAAATAGAGACTGGTTACTTTCGCCAGTTGTAGAATATTCTCAGCCACTAACCTTTCTGTTTGGTCTTCCATGTCTCTTATCCTTTTATCTGTATTTTCATCTCTTGTCGTGAAAGAGATGAAATTTCTTTCATTTCACTGTGGATAGTTATTTTAATGTATTATGCAATTTTCCAATTCTTTTTTCTGCTGTCTGGTCAGCTGATAAACACATCCATTGTGTTCTTTGATTACTGTAATTTTTTAGTTCCGGAATTTTTTATTTGGTTCTTTTTCATATATACTACAATATTTTTAGTTTCCAGTACTTTTGTCAAAATTCTCAAGCTTATGTTTATTACTTAACATAATAAACATGAATGCCTTATGGTCTGTGTCTGATAATTTCTACTGTGGCTTTGCTTTGATGGTTACTTATCTTTTGTAGATACTTACGTCATCTAATTTCCATGTGAGCATTTTAAACTTGGACTGCTCAAAATTGTAGTTGAAAAAAAAAAAAAAAACAACATGTAAGTAGTTTGAGGCTTCAGGCATGAGTATATTGCTTTCGAGTAGATTTATTTTTGCTTCTGCTTTGTGCTTATGGGTGATACAACACTCGTCCAGTGTGCAGTATCAGTGAGGTCTGTCTTAGGAATAGCTGTTGCTTTGGTATCTACATAGACCATATGAGACAAAACTAGAGATTGTCATGCTGCTTGCTCTCTTCAAGCCTAGAAGTTCAAAACCCTTTTCCACAACACATGACACATTCGTTTTAAATGCTATTCACATGAAAGATAAACTCTCATGGAAATACTAATACTAGCAGTTTGGTCACAGACGAGATAGCCTGAAGTTTATATACAATTTTCTGCTTAGTAGCTAGGAACTTACCCTTTTTCTTTGACTCAAAGGAGCACATATTCAATAATATATTATTATCTGAGTGAAAAGGTATTACATCTGCTTATTTTTTAAAGATAATTGTCAAATTTTGATACTTAAACTCCTACGTATAACAAATGGTGACCCACCTCACAAATAACCTGGCTGAAACAGTGTTTTATGACATTAAAACTGACTGTAAGGATGCTGATAACTGTTGTTCTATGATTTTTCTAAATCACTTATTAGGTGGGTCAAATAACTCTCCATTTATGGGCCAAAAAATTATGTCAAGTCAGTAGTTGAGATAAAAGAGATGAATAATGAATCACGCAAACTATGCAGCATGTAAACTATGTGCGAATAGACTGATAAGTAATGATTATTATGACTCTTACAGGAAGTCTCAGTTTTCTCAGTTCATCCTTAGAATATTTTTGTATTATTAACTCTGAGAAATGTCCCTGATTTCTGTTATAGGGACAGTCAGTAATAAATGACTGTTTCTCCAAAAAAGTGACAATTTTCATATCTCATCTTGCCTTTTTTTTTTTTTTTTGACAATCCAATCTAAATGAAACTTAAATTGGTAGATGTATTCTATTTTTTATTTTATTTTATCTTACCTTAACTTTTAGGTTTAGAAAACTTGTGTCACAGGGGTTTGCGGTACAGATTATTTCATCACCTAGGTACTCAACCTAGTACCCAACAGCTATTTTTTCTGATCCTCTCCCTCCTCCTTCCCTCCAGGCACAAGTAGGCCCCAGTGTCTGTTGTTCCCCTCTTTGTATCTGTGTGTTCTCATCATTTAGCTCCCACTTATAAATGAAAACATGCAGTATTTGATTTTCTCTTCCTGAGTTAGTTTGCTAAGGATAATAGCCTTCAGCTCCATCCATGTTCCTGCAAAGGACATTATCTCATGCTTTTTTATGGCTGCACAGTATTCCATGGTGTCTATGCACCATATTTTCTTTATCCAATCTGCCACTGATGGATATTTAGGTTGATTCCATATCTTTGGATAGCTACATTTTATAATAACACCTGAATAATTTGAATTTGATGATCTTTAACTTGGAAGAAGAAGGAAGAGATAATCAACTTTTGTATCAGGTTAGGCAGGGAAAACAGATCTGAGAAGAACGACCCAGTAGATGACTTTTAGAAATTGAAGGATAACATGACAATCCATAGTGCCTGACAGAGAAAGGGCTGCAAAAGCTTGATCAAAGCCTAATTATGATAAAGTTACTATTTTGACCATGGCTGCTTATCCATCTGTTCTTCATAAAAGTCAGGTAGAAAGCATTGCCTTAGAGGAGCCTCAGGAACGTTCAAGATTACAACCACTTCCTTCTCTGGATGATGTTCTTGAGGGAGAGAAGAACTGATAGACTAGCTTCCTCCATTCTCTGTGCCTGAAGAACTTGAAACTGAGGGATAAGTAGGGATTTATAGAGTAATTTGTGTCAATAGC